TTAGCTTTCATATTCCTAAACTGCTTTTATAATCTTTAAAATTTTGGTCTGGGTTATAATGTTGAGATTGCACTGTTTCATCAGCACAAAATGTGCTCAGGTGAAACACTCTTAGATGAGCTAGCAACCTCCTGCTTGGTCCTCTTGCGCCTCATGAACTCAACAGGAAGTTAATATGTTGGGCAATAATGCGGGCACTGTAATTTTATTAAAATGATGAGACCAGGCTTGTATGAAGTGCTGTAATACTAATAGAAAAATTGCCAGAGAAGATTATTGTAATATAAACTTGAGGGGAAAGAATTTACGATCTGAATAATTTACCATCTGAGTAAAGCTTGAAGAATTTCTTAAGCTAGTTCTTAAAGCTTATTTTGCATAATTAAAGTGCTGAAAAACCTCACCTAAACTCTTGTGCACTGAACTCTACTGTTTAGGAAGGCTTCTATTCCAGGAAGTCTACAATTCAGGTGGACAGGCAGGTGAAAGGATGAGAAGAAATGGAGATATATAGAAGAGTGTGTCACTACATTAAAATTAATCAGGGTGCAAAGGCAGTAGACTGGAATCCAAGTCTCACTCTCATCCAGCCCCCTTGTGCTGAGGGATAATATTGAGTCTGACATCCAGGGAAACACTTTTGGTGAGGTTAGGAGACCTGTGCACAGGTAGACCTCTTGCCAGGAAAAAGCCCAACATTGTTATTGTCATTTTGGTTTATTAGAAATGAGCACCATAGTTGTGGTAGGCACCACATGCAGACTTGCGTATGTCTTGGCTATTGTGGATGCACTTGTATTCCAGAAGGCAAAGGATTTTGCTATTATCTAAGAAATCTGCATGGCAAGACAAGCTTTGTCTTTTCATCACTTTGAAACTGTCAGTGGTATTTTAAATACATTATTTTAACCAAGATGGCTATTTCAGAGCATCCTGCTGTCGGACGCCATCTGCTTGGAAAGCGTCATCATTTGTGACTTCTGCAGTGTGGGAACCAAATGTCAGAGACTGTCAAAGCACTTTCCATCATACTCTAATTCTGACTGAACAGAAATCCTGCTTATTCACTTTGCTCAAAAAGTGTAGACTTCTGAGGTTTTTTAGTTGAGCCAGGATTACAGTTAAGTGAAAACCATAGTCTTTCTACAACCAAATTTCCTCCGAACAATAATTTTTTGTAGAATTAAGGTATAAATTTGGTCAACTGATGCTGTCAAAGAAAAATTGAATGTTACCCTTAATTAATTATTAATCAGTACTAATAGTCAATGTGCTAGATATATTTTTTTAGTTTTCTCAATTAAATATATAATTCTTTCAGGAGTAAGTCTGGTCTGTCCTGGCCACTTAATGTTTTGCCGGTGTTTTCATAAGCTTACAGTGTTGATCCAGCCATTTTAAAGATAGCATTTTTCCTTGTCTGAGCTATCTCATCACCCCAAAACTATAGTCACTATTTTATTTGCACTTTTGGGGATTCTCTGATTTTTGGGCTTCTCCAATTGAAAGTTCAGTAGTCATGTTTTTGTTTAATCTCTCTGATTTTCTTTTTCTTTAAAATTCTATGTATGTCTCATGGCTATGAAATCTAGAGTCATGGTTAAACTCTGCAGGGAAGAACACGGGCAAAGTTTCACTGAACTGTACATAAAAATACTTTGGTTCTGATTGGTGACACATCATTAATTGTATCATCAGCATCCTTTAAGCAGGAGTGGTCAGCCAGGGTAATACAGATATGGCTTTGTGTTGTAGAAAAACAGAACAACTCATGGTTGTGTGGTTGTTGGCCATTGATGGCTTGTTGTTGTTGTTAATTTTGTGGGTTTTATTGTTTGTTTATTTTTCCTACACTTGTGGTGAATATCAGACTATTATTTATTTTTTTCCCCCCTCTAAACTCACATGGTTGAATTTCACAAACCAGATTAACAATCATCTTTTCTCAGGAAAATGCTGTGAACGGAGAACATCTTTGGCTGGAGACAAATGTTTCTGGGGACCTCTGTTACCTGGGGGAGGAAAGCTGCCAAGTCAAATTCTCAGTGAGTTGCTTTCAGATTTCTTTCTTTCTAAGGTAACAAGTCTAACTTCAGAACTGTACAGTGCTCAGACACTGGAGAGCTTGAATTGTTTGTTGTGTTCCAGGAGAAAGAATGAAAAAGGGACAAAAGGCTGCTGGTTAAATACTTTATTGCTTGGGGAAAAAAGCTCTGAAAAATGTTGAGTGACCCAGATTATTTACGCATGAGAATGGATGTATTGAGTAGCTTTATTAACATGGTAAGGGAAAAAAGATTAGAATATTGAAGTATTTCAGAAATGTTCAAAGAAAGCAGCCTATTGTATTTATATAGACAAATATGTATGCTGGATAGAATGACTGAAGCTAATTGTGTGAGGGTCAACAAGGCCAAATGATGGGTCCTGTACTTGGGTCACAGCAACCCTATGCAACACTGCAGGATTGGGGAAGAGTAGCAGGAAAGGTACCCAGAGGAAAAGGACCTGGATATGTTGGTCAATATCTGGCTGAATATGAGTCAGCTGTGTGCCCAGGCAGCCAAGAAGGCCAAGGCATCCTGGCTTGTATCAGAAATAGTGTGGCCAGCAGGACCAGGGAAGTAATTGTCCCCCTGTTCTCAGAACTGGTGAGGCTGCTCCTTGAGCATTGTGTTCTGTTTTGGGCTCCTCACCACAAGAAGGACATTGAGGTGGTGGAATCTGTCCAAAGAAGGCTGATGAAACTGGTGAAGGGTCTAGAGAACTTCTGAGGAGCAGCTGAGGGAACTGGGGTTGTTTAATTTGTAGAAAATGAGGCTGAGGGGAGACCTTTTAGATTGGATATTAGGACAAATTTTTCCACTGAAAAGGTTATCAAGCATCAGAACTTGCTGCCCAGGGAGGTGGTAGGGTGACCATTTCTGGAGTGGTTTAGTGGTGTACATGACAGTGTTAGTAAGCTTGTGGTTGGACTTGATGTTCATAAAGGTTCTGTCTAACCTAATGATTCTATGATTCTATATCACTTCCTAGGGTCTGTGAGAGTAGAAATTGATCAAAAGATTGTGATTTTAATCACTGGAAGGGTTCAAATGGAATTTTCCAAACTCTTGAATGCATTCACCAGAAATGAGTGAAGTCATGTTTGACTTCTCCTATTTGAGAATATTTGAAGTTTGCGTATTGAAGCTTTTTTTGCTGTGTATGAAGGAGTTTCATTGAATTGATCTTTAACTCCTGAGTGTCTCTTCTCTACTTGGGCAGTCACTGTTGTATTGCCAGTTAGTGTACTTTCCTCAAGGGAAATATATCTGTGTTTATAACATGTTAACAGTGTATGAGGCTTTTGTTAGTTTAAGAACCAGATGGAAATGAAAATACAGTTAACTTTAGTTATTGATAGTTTAACCTGATCAGTTAAATTGTGAAGACTTCTCCAGTTTGAATATTCTGAAGACACTGTATCTTCCTATACATGTCCTGGTCTTCCTTTGACTTATCTCTTTTACACATAGACTATTTAAGATCAATTGTTTTCACGGAGAAGTGGTGAAAAACGTTTCAGCTGTAGCTGCACAGACTTGGCATAAAAAGTTAGGCCATACAGAACATGAACTTGTTCCGACATTTCATGATAAATCAAAGAAGTTAAAAGTAATGTAAAAGGTAGTCTGAATTTTTATTAACATCTCACTATAAATTGTTGTAACTACTTGCAATACCACCAGCATTAAAAAATGAGAATGACTTAAAAATCAAGATACTGAGAAAAACATCTGCTTGTAAAGCATTACCTCTGCTTGCTTTTTGCAGTTTTTCATCTTAGGGATCAACTCCTTTATCTTATCTTACTCTTTTTGGTACATGGAGACTAAACACATTCTTAAAAATAACAAGTTGCAAAGTACATGAAAACTTTGTTACACAATGTCAGGATTCTGCAGGTGAAACATTAGAACAACACTCAACATACAAGTGAATGTGCACAGTCAGACAACTATGAGACTCAATAAAATTATAATAATTCTTCTATAAAGTGAGCCAATGTTATATTTCCTTTTTCATGTTGATTTAATTTACAATATATTGAAAATTCGAATGAAATAATTTATTATAAATTTAAATGAACATTAATAAATGGAATGTAAAAATCTGTGGTAAATCAATCTCAATTTTCCATGTGTTTATGAATTTCCTGTCCTTCAAGCAGAGGTCTATAAGTTAAATTTATTTGAAAATTAAATATATCTGGTTTATTAAGTTAAACATGTGCAAGAAAAAAAAAAAAAATCTTCTCTCTCTCCTGGATACATTCTTTTGCCTTTAATGTGCTTTGGCCCTGAGGATTAAATGGAAATTATTTTAAAAGTCCTACTGAAATTACTAAAACTAACCATACTTAGGGTGAGAATTTTATCCCTGCTGTTGCATTTCATTAATGTTTAACAACATTCTGTGAGAAGGTTATAATTCTCTGCTAAATGACCCAAGTATTTTTCTTCAAGGCAGTAGTCAGGCCCATCAAATTAAATAATATATGATAAGCATGAAGTGACATACTCTTCCAAACTGATCTGAGGTCTCTGATTTGCATGTATGGTTTTTCCTCAGTTTTCACTGGCTCTGGTCATCCTCTTCAGAGACTGTTCCCTTTTAGAACGATGAGCTGTGCTGTAACAACCTTAGCTGTTACCTAAAGAGAGCCTTTTACTTCTAGTTCACAAGCTGAAATCCTGTGGCTGTCTGTCTTTCACAAAGTCTAATTCTTAATTGGAAGAGCTTCAGACCTTTTTTCCATATAGAGAACAGCTGAGAGGAAAGAGTACAAAACACAAACAAACGTAGGATAAGGCAAGGAACATCTCTGGCTTCACAGCTAATTTTTCTTTCCTCCTGAGAAAAGCTCAGCTCCATGCACACGTTTCCCTTTCCTCTTGCAGAAATCTGCTCTGCGGAGGAAATGCGCTGCCTGCAAGATTGTGGTCCACAATGCGTGCATGGAGCAGTTAGAGAAGGTAAGACATTGCCATCTTCTGGAGCCTGAGGTGGATGACACCCATGTAATTTTACTGAGGTTTCAGTCTGGAAGACATCATATGCCAGAATAAGTTTTCATAGCTGTTTTGACAATGTATTGGTTAAAAATTTCACTTATAATTCCAGCTTATTTCATAAAATAGATTTCTTCAAACCCTGTGAACCATTAAAAAAAAAACACAACCCAAAACAAAAAACCATAGAATGTTTTAATAATTTTTATGATAAAAACCCATATTTTTTCCTTATACTTCTAAGCTGAATATTGAAGGTAGAAATATATTGAAGGCAATATCCTTTCATGCATAAAATTGGTCTTTCAAAATTCCTCAACTAAGCTCAGCACAATTCATCTTATGACAGCTATTATGACAGTTATTATGAGCAATGCAGCATAAGATGCTACTCTGAACATTTTTCACTGTGTTTACCAGACTATACTGTTTTGTCCTCAAAACCTCTGAAATCAAGTGGATTTTTTTTTTTTTTTTAGCATAGAAATAATAAAATCTCTCTTTTATCGTACTGTTATTTCTGTGAGCATCTGCTCTGTTTCTCAGCTGCTTTAGTCCTCCTTACCCTCAGGTGCCTATGAATATCTGTCACTGAGTTCTCTTCCCACTGGTGTCTCTTCTTCATTATGACTGTTAATGTGTTAAAGAAATTTCTGACCAATGATTTTCTTTCTCAATGGAATATGTGTAAAGAAATATGAGTGGAGATTTCCCCATTGACTTCATTAGAACTTAATTTCTACTCCTATATGTTTTGCAAAGTTGTTTTCCATAAAAGAAGTTGATGCCTAGCAAATTTATAGCAACAACCCTTTGGAAAAAGTTTTTCCTTTCATGGTGTTTGGGCTTGTGTTGACAAATGCCACAGTAATTGCCATAATACCAAGTTGGAGAGATACCATTTCCACCCTCAGTGCTTTTACCCACAGTGAAATTAGCATTAGCACATGCTTTCAGCACAAAATGTTACCAGTGAATTTTTCATTACTTCCTTCATCATCAGCAGTGCTGACTCTCTGTAGCCCAGCGAGCTGGTGGCATTGCCAGCCGGAGTAAATAAGCACTGAGATAAAACCTATTCTTTTGGGCTTGTTTATGCCATTCTGGAGACCATGAAATTCACCTCTTGGCAGACGGTTGTTATAAAGTCTGCATTCCTCTTAAACCCGGTGGAGTTTTAAATGGGCACATAAGTCTTCTACTTGGCCCCCTCTGTAAGGGTGGAAGTATTAAGTAAAGTAAATAGAATCTGGGAGGTCTTTCCAGCCTGCCACAGACTCAGCAGTGAAACTATGAATTGCAATTTGAGATGAAGAGCAATGGAGGAAGACTGATATTGCTAAGGCTTTTATTTCTTCTTAAATTATAAGTTTGTTTTTGTTTTTGTTTTTTTTTTTTAATCTAATTTTTATTTCCTTTTTGCCATTATTAAATGAGGTAAGAACTTATTTATATGGGAATGGTTGCATTTAAATTTGAGGAAACTCATTCCTTTGCCTTCATTATAAGAGCAATAAGAGCATAGCTGTTATAGTATCCTTAAACATTTTAGTATTTGAAGGATAGTCAACTTAAGCCTGAATCAATTTTATTTAGTGCATCCTTACCGCACACATCTTTCAGCTTTTTCCCTTGCCTCTCTTTTTCAGCACCTTTTTTTCTCTTTACATAGCCCTTGCTCTTCTATTAATTTTATTTTCTAAAAAAAATTAGGACTTTTCTTATAGGATTCCCTTGGTTTTTTCCCATGCTTTTTCTCTTAATCTTCATAAACAAAGTTTTCCATTCATGGAAGATCCTGTTGTCCTCTTCCCGCCTTCCATCTCCCATCTGAAGGAGGCAACACCACTGTGTGAGGCATTACAATGGTTAGTGACTGGGAAGCAACCTGATCTAAGTAGAAGGTAGAAATTTAGGGTAATTTGCACAGATCTTCATGTGAATTAAAATTGCTTTACAGATTTTGTGTATGAAGACATAAAGCTGGAACATGCAAGAATGTCTTGCAGAGTTAGATTTCTAACTTCTATTGAGACCTCAGCTTAAGTCCACTTTGGTTGCAAATGATATTCCGAAAAAACCAGATGAGGCTGTTTCCTTCTAGGCAAAGGGGAGACAGTTTAAAGAGTTGAACTGAGTATGCAACAATAGCATTAATGAAGATGAGGGCTGTGTAGGGATATAGCAAGGGGAATTATTATGGCATATGTAAAGATTTTCTGGAGTTCAGGTAAGTTACTTTGTTCATCTAGTGAAGCTAGTATTTTAACAGATAATTAATATTTTGGAAGTTTGGCCTAGATAAACATATTGAAATAAATTCTCTCTCAGCTCAATTTCAGTTCTAACAGCTTTATTTTAATGCCAGATTAATTTTCGCTGCAAACCAACTTTCCGAGAAGGAGGATCCAGATCTCCAAGAGAAGTAAGTAATGGACAGCTGACAATTGCTTTTCATTTGATTTGTGTGCTGTTCCCATAGGTGTGGAGCTGCAGCAGTGCTTTTAGATTCAGAGGAGTCTTAGACAGAGTATTTTTTCCCACTGGGACATGTTCTTCCCAGATTAAATGTAAAATGAATTCTGACTGAAGCACTCCATTATTTACACTGATGGAAACAATTTCATCTTTCTTTTGTCTTTTTTTTTTTTTTTTTTTTTTTTTTTTTGGGTGGGGAGATATAACATTTCTTTTTTTTCATTACCTTTGAACTAGTATTTTAAAATTTCTCTCCATTTCTCTTCCCTTCCTCTTGCTTTCCCATATATATATTTTTTTCTAGATGTATGTCTAGTGTCCTAAGATTTTTTAGTTAAAAAAAAAATAATTAAAATACTATGGTTTACTTCAATCTTCTCTATGAATTCAGCTCCTCTGAAGATCCTGGGTACTTACTGTTATTATTGATCTATTTATGTATCTGTCTTACATAGTTAAAAGCCAGTGTTTCAAAACCACAACTTTTGTTGCAGATTAGTGGCCAGCTTGCTCTTACCAGAGGTAGCTAAATTGTCTGCCACATCAGTGCTTCAGGGCTGACTGGGTAAGAGCACAGTGCAGGTGGACCCCTTCTAACCCCTTTGCCTGCACAGACAGAGGGGCAGCAGTCACCCTCCCATCTCTTGCTGCCATCTTGATTGTAAGCAGTCCAAACAAGAATTAAGGACTGCTTCAATAACTGCTCTTTCCTCCCTTCCTTCCCTTCTCCTGCCTTAACTTGTGATTTATTTTTTTTTTTTTGCATTTAAGGGCTGTATTTCCAAGCAGAACAGAGCAGGGACCTGCATTAGGGCAGGACACAGCGGAGTTTGAACACTTTTCTGCTCTCTGTTTAGGTGTTGATTATCTCTGCGTCATGGGATGAACTTCCTTCTTTTTGTAGAAGAGTACAGAGAGAAGTTCTGTCCATGTTTCAACATGGATAAAGAACCACTGTCTCATTCTTATTCCTCCTGCAGTTTTGGTTGTGCCTGGGGTTTCCTGTAGGGACCACTACAATTTACTCTAAAAATTATTGCATTGGCTGGAGGGACCTTTCTTTTGGTGCCCGTAAACCAGTTTCACACAGAGAATACCTTTGAATGCAACCCTGTCATTGCTTCCCAGAATGTATTTATTATTTTTTTTTGTCCTTCTGTTGCAGAACTTTGTCCGACACCACTGGGTGCACAGGCGGAGGCAGGAGGGAAAGTGTAAGCAGTGTGGAAAGGTAAGATTGCCAGTGTGGCACATGGACAATACTGGCCACTGATGGATTCAAGACAGCCAGTAGGTCCTTCTAGCCTCCAAAATTTTTCTGTCCTCAACACTTGCCTCTCTTAAGCAGAAAATGACATGCCTGATATGTGGAGTGGTAGCAGCTCCAATTCCAACATGGAAAGAGTAGGAATGAGCACATCGCATATCCTGGGACACTGAGCTGCACTGGCTGGCGAGAATGAGTAGTAGGAGAAAGGCTGTGGCCCCTTGAGCTTCTTTCTTTGTTAAGCTAACCCTGAGCCAATATGGCATTCTCACAGTGCTGTTCTCTGTGCCAAAATTTTGATGGCCTATTTTTTCAGGCTTCTGGAAGAAGAAAGGCCATGGCTTTCTTTCTGCCCTGGTAGACTAAAGAGTGCAAAATTGTTTCATGTTTCGTCTGCTGCATAGATTGTAATAGTTTATTTCTAAGAAGTTATAAAAAAAGAGTAGGAAATACCTTAGTTACTGAAGACCTTTCTTCTGAAATATGATGAACCTCTGAAATCTGTAGAGAGAGATTTAAAAATAAAATTAACACAGGGGTTTAATTTCCTTTCTCTAGCACTGTATTATACATTTGCCTCCCTCTTAATACCATTTAGTAAGAAAGACTGTGTCTAGTCTCCATGGCACAGCACTTAAAACAGAAAAATAAGATTTACATCTGGATACTGATGTAGATCACCAGCTGCAACAAAGCATGCAGTAAAAATGTGATGTCCTTTTATAGCAAGAAGCATGCAAACTGTGCAACACTTTGCATGAATCATTCTTATGGTGTGAATTTGCAGTGATACTGCCTTCCTCCTCTGCAGTTTTGGCCTGGATCTCCCCTAGAGGCATTAGGAGTTGATTTTTCCATGGAAGTACCTACTGCCCATTGTATTAAAAGCTGTGTTGGGTACATTCATGTGGGCAACATGACCAGTCCATCACAAAATTCTTATCAGCCCTGACTGATATGGACATGTTCAGAGGAAATCACAGTTGTCCCTTTAAATAAAAAAAAACCAAAACAACACAGTTGAGACTAACATGGGTGTATAGTAGTAGAGTTCTTTGTAAAGAAACAGAAAGAATTAGGGAAAATTATAAAAAGAAAAGAAAAAGCAACCAACAACAAAACCCAACTTCTTTATTGTCCAAGCATTCTCCTATTACAGCAAAATACTTTCCTGTTTCATGCTCTGCTGTTAAAATTCTTACACTTCTGAGTGAGAACCATGTTTTATATTCTCTTGCCATATAAGAAAAAGGGAACTATCATTTAAATGGAAAGGCAGTAAATTTAAAACAATGAAAGGAAGCATTACTCATGGAATACCTAATGATTCTGGTAGATCTCACTGTTTTATGATATTAGTCTTATCCCATCTGTGGAATTAGGTGGTTAAATATTCTAATGATAATTTGAGTAATGAAAGTAGAAATTAACATTTAGGACATAGTCATCTCAAGTTCAGGTCAAAAGCCAGTGGAAAGGAATTAATGCTCCTTAACATCTTTAGCATGGCTTTATAATTTGTGTTCCTTCTTTGCCACACTTGATACTTCCTGGGAGCTGGAGAACAGAAGTGTCTATGTCAGTGCTTTACCTCAGACCAGAGGCGCAGTTTGGAAGAAATTTGCCTGATTGTCATCACTTACCACAGTTCACATGTGGAGCAGTCTCGCAGCAAGTGAACTAAATTCCTTTCAGATTAGACTTAATTGAAAGGTAATTCTCTATCTCCTAATGGACATTCTGTTCACAGGACCAGACTATAGCTAGTAAAAAAAAAAGTCTGAAAATCCTTGTGCAAAGTGTCCTTGGTACCAACAGAGATTGTGGTCCCATTGTTACATATCACTTGCTTGCACAATACAGTTTATAAGGTGTCATCCAGCATGTAATTACAGGATTGAAATTTCTAGTGTTTGAAAGGCAATTCTAGTTTTTTGTATTTTCGCAGAGATCACAATCAAAGTTCTGCCGCTGCTGTATGTATTTGAGTAGTAATAATACCTGGCTCCTCCCCAGTAATGTTGCTTTGCAGTGTCTCTGAGAGCATTAAAAAGGGGAAAAGTATTGCAGGAAAATATGTGCAATAAAAAAACGTTATGACTCTTAACACTGATATGAAAATTTTCTTTAATTGGGACTACATTTGGGACTACAACCAAAACTTTAATCCCAATGTGCTCTCTTTGTGTTCATGGGTGCCTAAAGTAATATGGACTTTTATCCAAATTATTTAGACAGACTGTAGTCCTCAGCACAAGCTGGGGATCCAGGTGCTCTTTGCCTCCAAATATATTTCCTATGGTATGCACAATTGTCTGTTTCCATAGGAACAGATGACAGCATGGGATTTAATGTGTTGTGCAGGAATTGGGTGCCAGTGAATCAGGGCTATTCAGGTATTGTTAGGCCAATATTCTCATAAAGGTAAACTTAATTTTCTATTCCAAAATTACTAAATGTATGCAGACCCTGGGATAAGTTAGCTGAATTTTTAGTTTCCCCTCTCACTGAGAGAAGGCAGAAGAGATGATTTCTGGTCTAGAGTATGGGGGACTCCAGCATTTTGTTCTGATAGTCCCCATCAAATCTCACTGTGACCTGCAGTGCATTGCTTTATTTAATCAGTTTCTTTATTTTATAAAGCTAGCTTTCAAATAATTGCTCTCTTACCTCAAACATGTATCTTTAGAAAGAATTAGCTCATATTTGTAAAGCAATTTGAGGAAGAAAAGTGGTGTTTCATTGCTACTTATCATTAATATGTTTTTATTGATGTATAATTTTCTCTAATGACTCCCTAAAAGCCAAATGACTTACTGAATAAATGAAAAATGGTCCATCCAGAACCAGACCAGCTGCTAAGTCCACTGATGGGCTGTGGAATTAATGTACCGAATTTAAGGTTTCATTAGCAGAGATTTTTGGAGGGAAGAATTTCTCCCCTGCTTGTTACAAAGCTGAACAAAAAAACACCCCAACATTTCATGCCCATGATGGGCTGAAATAATTTTTAAAATATACTTTGGGACAAGAAAGAGTAAGATTGATGAGAAACCTTAAAAAGCACTGGTCTAAGAGAATAAGAATAGAGTGTTTAATCCAGTGTCAGATCTCTTTTTCAGAATTCACATCATCATACAGTCACTCCATTTGTTCTTGTGCCCACACATATTGGCAGACTATATCTGCCCTGCCAGAAGCAGCTGGTCAGCATGTCTTTGTGAAGTCGTTCGACCACAACCCCTATTAAATCTGAATATGATAGATCACCATAATTATGAAGAATCTACTCTTTGAATTTCTTTGAATGTAAAACCTGTAGCATCAGGGGAAATATTAAAAAAAATATCTAGGCAGAGGTGATGAAGCCTGTTTAGGAGTAGGCCTTCACTGGCGTTGTGGTCCATCTCTCTAATTGGTTTGAAAACATGTCGGGTATACCTGAAGTAGCTGCAATGTGCACTTCTACATGACAGGCAGACAGGGAGAGCTCCTTCTCTTCAGAATATTCATAATGTTGTTCTCAGCTACCCACATATGGACGGAGTGTGGCTCTGTCATTTACTTAAAGACCAGTGCATCTAGTTTTTGGTGTTTTTAGTGTTTATTATTATTAAATTAATTCTCCTCAGTGTGCTTGATGTTGTCACTGGACAGACCACTAATAGCCTCTTTTTCCTGCAGGTATCTGTCTTCCTCTTCATTTCTATAGCAACTAGAATAAGAAGGACCTTAATTATAGAAGCTTTAAGGAAATTTCCTGTTAGATGTTACTAAATCAGCTTACTGTAACTCTTTTCATTGGGTCTTGGGCATTGCACAGCATGTAGGAGATTTAAATAAAACTCAACTTGTTGAAAAGAAAACTGGCTCACAAATTCTTGACTTGACAGACTTTCAGTGAGAAAACTCTGGGTAGTGATAGGCTACTTAGTGTAGTAGAGAACCTTGCTAGAAACCAATTAATTAAAGGATCTAGATAACTACAAATCTGAAATAAATCTAAGCAGTGAAGTGACTACAGTAAACTATGCCACAGAGTTCTTGACTTTCCATTTCTGCAGCCACTAACACAATTTTTTTTTTCTCAGTTAAAAAGAGCTTTAACTGAACACAAATTTTCAGGCAGTTACTCCAATTACTGTTTGTTGCCTGTGATATATGCAAGAAGGATGTATATGATAAGTGGTCTTTTCCAGCCTTAGAATTTAGAGCAAAGTGATATTTCTGCTGAAATAACATTCTGCAAAAAATTAAACTTGTCTCCTGGAGAATAAAATCTCATATATGTTGGTAGTGGTGGTTCATTTTTTTTTGTTTGTTTCTTTGGGTTTTTTTTGTTTTGTTTTGTTTTGTTTTTTTTTGTTATTTTCCTCTTTAAAACCATAAAGAAATATTTTCTTTTATACTTGTTTGAATTGAATCAAACCATCTTGGCTTTTAGAACTTACTAAAAAGATTTTTATCTGAGTCAACTCAGATCAAACAAGAACTCAGATAAAACAAGAAAAAAAAATTAATCAGAACATTTCCACATAGGCATTGCAGTTGATTCCACTCCATATTTAAACATAAAACAACAAACAACAAAACCGCACAACAAAAAAACCTAAGGAAAGAAAAAGAATAATTGAAAATCTTCTTCGTATGAGCCACCAATGTGCCCTTGTGGCCAAGAAGGCCAATGGCATCCTGGGGTGCATTAGAAAGGGTGTGGTTAGTCGGTCAAGAGAGGTTCTCCTCCCCCTCTATTCTGCATTTTTGAGGCCGCATCTGGAGTATTGTGTCCAGTTCTGGACCCCTCAGTTCAAGAAGGACAGGGAACTGCTTGAAAGAGTCCAGCACAGAGCCACAAAGATGATTAAGGGAGCAGAATATCTCCCTTATGAGGAGAGGCTGAGGGAGCTGAGTCTCTTTAGCTTGGAGAAAAGGAGACTGAGGGGTGACCTCATCAATGTTTACAAATATGTAAGGGGTGAGTGTCAGGGAGATGGAGTTAGGCTTTTCTCAGTGATGACCAGTGATAGGACAAGGGGTAATGGGTGCAAATTGGAGCATAGGAGGTTCAAGGTGAATATCCAAACAAATTTTTTTACTGTAAGAGTGACAGAGCACTGGAACAGGCTGCCCAGGGAGGTTGTGGAGTCTCCTTCACTGGAGAGATTCAAAACCCACCTGGATGCGTTCCTGTGTGATGTGCTCTAGGTGACCCTGCTCTGACAGGGGTGTTGCACTAGATGATCTTTCGAGGTCCCTTCCAACTCCTAGGATTCTGTGATTCTATGATTTGTATCTAAAGAAAAAAATACTTAATGAAAGAATGTTCAGTTCAACCAAAAATTCTGAATCCTATTCAGGTTTGTAGATATTAATTGAAATAAAGCCTTCCTTCTTCTTTCTTTCCTTCTTTTTAACTACAAAAATTAAGAAAAATAATACAATTCTGGAGATGTGTCTTTAAACCATGTGTGTGAAAATGCCCTAGTTGAAGAATCTGAGTCTTGTCATTATTTTATCCCCTCTGTGACCTTTGATACCGAACCAGGGTATCTGACTGCAAAGAACTGATTTAGCCTGGCACAGCCCCATGCTAGGAGTTAAAGGTGTTAATTTTCTTGTAGTCAGGAGGAATTAAATAATTTTTTCTTGCTTATTCTAGGGCTTTCAGCAGAAATTCTCCTTCCATAGTAAAGAGATTGTGGCCATCAGTTGCTCCTGGTGCAAGCTGGCGGTAAGTGGGCAATACTCCAGATGAGTAGCAATATCGAGTTGACTGCACTGCAAGCAATTGTTTTCTCCTGGCTCTCTGGACTCCCTCTCTGTGAGTCACCCCCATTTTTGCCATTTTTGTTCCTTTTGCTCAGAGACAAATGGCTAGTACAAGTCCTTTAGGAAAAGAGTTGTGCTGCAGAACATGGTTGCTGGCTACCTCCCATCAATACCCTGCTGCTGCTAGCCTGGAGAGACAAAGGTCTCTTGAAACACAGAGCTACACCAAACTAATTTGTGGTCTTCAGTCTGTGTTTAAGTAGGGGTGTTTGTTGGGTTTTTTTTGGGGGGTGGGGTTGGGATTTTTTTTTTGGCTTGGGTTTTTGGTTTGGGTTTTTCTTGTTTTTGTTTTTTTTTTCCCTCGTAAGAAGGTATGTCTAGGGAAGATGATTTTAGTTATATGTTCCTAAAACTCCATGGTTTGAAGGACTTTGAAGATGGTGGAGTTGGGAACATTGCTTCAGATTTTGTACCGTCACCATCTTCTTCCTCTCTGTGCTTCCCTTTTCTCTTTGTCTTCCTTGGCCTCTATATTGACTTCATTCTTTTCCCCTCTTCCAGTTTCATAATAAAGTCACCTGCTTCATGCTACATCACATTGAGGAGCCATGTTCCTTGGGGGCCCACGCTGCTGTCATTGTGCCTCCCACCTGGATCATTAAGGTGAAGAAACCTCAGGTAACTGCATGCTGATGTCTGTTTCTGAAGCTGTATGGCTGCTCAGGGCCAGCCTAGCTTCCCTGCTCAGCACTTCTTCACTTAAAGCATGCTTGTTCAACCCTGTCACTATCCCTGAAACCCAACATACATCCATGGTGATGATGAATCTGTATCCTTCTGCCCCTTCATCTAACCCTTCAGGAGGTTTCCCTGTTTGGGATGATTAGCAACAAACATGACTTTTGTTCTGAGCAAATCCAGCTCAGGTTTGTTCCTCTAACTGTGACTTTAGCAAGCATACTGCAAGAAATTCCCTGTGTTGTAGGCAACCCAGCATGTTTCATTAAATAGAGCTGAGCAAAGACAGGGAAAAACTGTTTGCAAACATTCACTTGAAGCTTTTGTGATAGATGTGATATGTTTGAGACAGGATGCTGTCTTGTGGTGAACACCACAGGGAGAGAGGGTATCCAAAAGAGACCTGGCCAAAAATTACAAAGGGATTGCCATTATGCAATAAGTATTTTGTTCTTTAAAAGTTTGTTTTCACTTCAGGTTGAACTGAAAGAAACAGACAAACACACGCTAAACTTACCAGGGAGATAGAAATGCTGGTAAAACTGTTATTTCAGAAGCTCTGAAACAACCTTGGGTGGTGGGGTTTTTTTGGTTTGTTTGTGTTTTGTTTTTTTATTATTATTACTATTTTATTTTTTTAAATTAATAGTGTTCAGGATATCAAAACTTCCCCCTCCAGTTTTCTTGCAATTATTCTCCACTGACAAAGACATGGGAGAAGGCAGATGAGTGATCTTAAAACCAGCTGCCTGTGGCCAGAGGTGTGGCCTCTTCCTAGGTCTGATAAGGAGATGTTTTTTCACATTTCCAGTTTATTTAACTTGCAAATTGTTTTAAGTCACCATTAAAAAATCACAAACTCACAACAAAACAAGCTCAAACAAAAACCCTTTTGTATGCTTTTAAGTGTATTTTCTTAAAAAAAACCCTACAAAACAAAACAAAAAAGGCAAGAGCATTGAATTTGTTATGTCCCTTTTGGCTTACTAAAACTCCTTTTTGTGAGCCATCAGTACACTTCAATCTCTGTTCTCTTAACCAAGTCAGAAAATAATATTAAAACTAAAAATGCCAATTTTAATTTTTAAAAAATAATATAAAAAATACACGCACATATCTGACCAAACTAAAAGTAGCCTTTCTTTGATCTGTTCTATCATTATTTAAGTTTTAGTTTAGAATAAATCTACATTTATAGTTTGTTTTTTATTTGACTTTTGGTAAAAGCAGTGTACCTCCCCTGTGACATTTTTAGAGAATTTTATTTCTTGTCCATTAATTTTTCTAAAAAATTAAAATAGCATATCTAATCTAGTTAATTATAATTCATAGGAAAAAATGCTTTTAAATAAAGGTTTACATTTTTACACTTCAATAAATTGTTAGCTTTGTGTGCCTGAGTCATGAGTGGGGAGTAAGTACTTCAATCCAATGTTCCCTCTCCACCATGTCTCAAGTCCTTAAAATCTGAGGTCAATAACATGCAAAAACTTTGAGTAATTGAAGCCTTAGACAGATGAAAATGATATTTTAGTTCAGATGATGGGTATATTCCCATAGAACTTCTTAACAGCATCCATAGATTTGTTAGTTCTGGGGAATATATCCTTATTGCTGTAAAAAATGCTGGCATATCTTTCAGATGTGTTTTCAGTTTTTTGGCAGAAGTCTTGTTTTCTTATTTATTATTTTTAAGAAAATATTTTTCTCCCATCCTGTGGTTTCTGGCCAGCTCTACTTTTGTGTATTATGACCCTCCTCACCCTATATGCATGTTTGGTAAACACTATCAAATGTTGACTGTGTTCAATAGAACGCAAACAAAATATTAAGTAATTTTTGTTAATTCCGATGGTAACTAAATGTGTAGACAGTAATCTGTTTTTCACATATTCCACAATCAGAATAAATTTGGCTAGAAGCCCTTCTGTTATAAATTATTTCCTCAGCTCTAATTAACTACTCACACTGGTCTCAGGCAATTCCTGAACTGAATTCCCTACTCATGAAATTTATTTTAGTGGTACCTTCATCCTGTTTGCTGGTTGTTTCTTTTAAGTGAATAAGGTGACTTTTTGTAGCAAAACCTTTCCTGATTTTTAATTTATATCTTTCCCTTTATTGCTACAAAAAATGGTTTTCCATGTTTAGCTTGTTAATGTGGGTCACTACCTTTTGAATTTTGGGCGTGAATAAAGAGAACACTCCTTTGATTACCAGCAATGTTGTGGGGATGAAACATTATGGTGTAATTGACTAAAGACAAATCTCTCCTGACAACCTACATGTCAAATGGGGAGTTTTTGCTTGCAAATGTCTTGCAAGATGAAGAATATTTAGAATGGTTCCAATAGCTTTGGGATTAGTGGTAGCCCTGTGCGTAATGACCCATTTACATGAATGGAAAACTCCTACTATCTATTCCATGTTATTCATAATGTGAGCCACTTCGATAACTTTCCTGTGTTAGCATCACTGTCATACCAGCTCTGATATCCTGGGGTTCAAATAAATTCCGTCTCCTAGTTTGGGAAAGCAGGTCACCCCTGCTGACTGGTGGTATTTTGCTGTAGATGATGTTTGATAGCAGAAGTGGTGTTACCTCTAGGAATGGACTTGCTATGCTTATGTTGTGGGAGAAAAGTAGATAATAGGGAGGCTCTGACTCAGTCAGTCTGTCTTCAAGTCTCTGACTGAGTCAGTTTATATTTGGGAAGGCAAAGACATTAACTGTAAAGTTCCAGTTTTTTTTTCTGTTGAAGGTGAGTAAACATGGTGTTTTCCTCTTCTCCTCCTTTGAGGACCTTGAAAAAGTGCTAGTGAGTATTTATACTTCCGGGTTTATTTCTTTATTTCGTCAATTGTTGATTGCAGCTGGCTTGTCTGATTGTGGTTTGTGAACAACCAGAAGATGGTCAAGATTGGTCTTCCCAGAGAATGTTAATTGTTTAAGTGATTTGAAGCCCAGCATGCTAAGAAACTTTGAAAATGAAGGCTGAAATGTGAATTAAAAGCTTGAAAGGGCCCATTGGATTTGTCTGAGGTAGTCTGTGGCCCTCACACCACCCAACAATATACAAAATACACCATTTCTTCTGTTCCTCTGACTATGTTTGCTTAGAACTTTAGTGACCATGCATTAATACCAAAAATCTCTCTTTAAGATGGCCAAACTGACATCCACAAAGGAGAGGTTCCCTCTCTAGAGGCAAGTTAGGATTTACATATTGCTCATTCAAAGGTATGCTTTGCTATCAGGTGCTTCACTGAATAATACTGTATGTTTATAAAATACTCATCACCTTGTTATGTGCACAAGGTAGTATACATCCACTTCTTCAGTTTAATGTGCAGAGACCAATTGCTGTTGGCTGTTGTTCTTCTGCATGTTGCAAAGAGAACCTACATATGTTTAAGCAGCTTTTTTGCCTTTCATTTGTTATAGACATGCAATCATTGCAGCAAAGCTTTAGGTTATCTTAACATGATAGTTGTAGGCATGTTTAAAAAAAGTTAAATAAATAGCTATGACATAGCATATATTATTGCCTTTTTGAGTCTGGAAATGTGAAATATTGTAATGAATGAAGGTTTAGACTGAAACTGTTTTTCTAATGTATTGTATGCATCTTTCCACCCTAGCCATAGGCAGGAAAAGAGAGATGCTTTAATGACAAATGTATTTAAACCTTCTTTAAATTACTATTTTAAAAAAAATTACTCAGAACTTTACTGTCTTTTCCCTTTCAAAAATAATTTAGTTGGGCTTAGGTCCATTCATTGTGGAGGCAGAAAAAAAGTACAGTCCTTCTTCCACAGAAATGTTTAGGTACTTGCCTAGTATAATACCTAACTTGAGTTACAGACTGCAAATTGCCAGCAGAATTCACTGCACTTTACCAATAGGATAAGTATTTTCAATTTTACACCTGAACAGACTGAAGCACAGGGAAAAGGCCTGATATGCCCATGACCTTTCAGCAAATCACTGACAAGACTGCAAATAGATTAGATCTTCTCTCCCTGTCATGTTTTTCCCCACTCCAGGGGGAATCCTTCAGGAGAGAACTGCTGAGAAACTAGGTTAAGGCTCCCACAGGAGGCAGGTTTGAGACTTATGTCCTATACCTTTATATTGATGTAAAGACTTTTGTCTTCAATCAGTCTGACTACAGAGACAGGGCAATGAAAGACCGTGTAGATGATAGATAATACTGATGCACTTCCATAATAGATGTAGTCTTTGTGGTTTATAATGTTTTTGAAATCACTTTGTATCAGAGTAGGGAAAAGTACAAACACTTTTTTATTTGGTTCCTCAAAATACAGTCTAAAAGGATAAATCATAGACTCCTAGAACGATTAAGGTTGGAGAAGACCTTCAAGATTGTCAAGTTCAACCGTTAGCCCTACACCCCTGTGACCACTAAACTGTCTCCTGAAGCACCATGTCAATCTGTTTTTTGAATGCCTCCAGGGACGGTGCCTCCACCGCCTCCCTCACCAGCCTGTTCCAGTGCCTCACCACTCTTTCAGTCCTGTAATTTCTTTGCACAGCTTTTTTTGTCTTTGGTATTTTCTCTAAGCAGTAAGGCATTATGATTTTATGGTCCACAAGAAATGCTGAGAGGTGGCAAAAAGCTTGGGACCTTGCGCTCTACAGCAGGCTTCTCTTGGTGTGGGTGACAAAGAGCTGTGTCTTTAGGTACTTGAGCTAGACAGTTGTTAGTTTTTCTTAACTTCTCAAAGATGTGGAAATGTCAGCTTTCATCCCTGATGTGTCATACTTAAGTTTTGAAATTCTGGAAGTAGCTGTTCAGTATTAAAGAGAATCTAGTAGCTATTCTTGTTAATGTTGGTTAGCAAGCATAATAAAGCATAAATGTCACTGACTGCAAATTTGATCATCTCTGGCCATTGACTTTTCTTATTAGTCATACTCTTTTGAATAAGGTAGGGATAGAAATGAACTTTTGGATGAGTTGAGTGGATTTTGCTTCCCCTCTTGAAGCCAGAAAAAAAAAATAATCAGTGAGTGTTCTTCTAATTCTCCATGTTACTTTATTTCCTAGTGACTGCTAGACTAGAAGTTGAAATACTGAGAAAATATTTATAATATTTCCTGTAATAAAAATATTTTAATCATATGGAAAGGGTTTAGGTTTCTTGTGGTATGACTTCAGCTACTGAATTAAAATAATTGAAAAATAAAATAAAATTCCCCTTTTTGGACTGTTCCTATTACACCAGAATACCTTTTGGATCAGTATCACTGAGCAGGCTATTGCCAGCCTTGAGAGAAGCTTTGATGCGAGTTCTATTTTAATAGGTTCTACAAATATAGAAGGAGTTTTATTAGAGTTTTTTTTTTCCATGTAGTGAAACTATATTCTTATTTAAAAACAAATAAAACAAAAACTCCACAGAGAACCCCCCTCACCCAAATCCTTAAATGTTAACTATTCAGTTTGTTCCTTAGTAGATGATTGCACAAGTTTCTTGATGGGCTGGGACTGACTCCACAGTGCCAGCATCATATGTCATGGTGGCCTACGTTATGTTGAGTCATAATGGTTGCCAGAGGTAAAACTTGTTTTCTTTCCTAAAAAAACCACAAAAAAACATGAAAAATTTCTCATTTATCATGTTTTTTTATTACATCTTTATGCAGGTGGTCTCCATACCAGGAGACGAGCCTGATTGGGCAGGAGACTGGAGCCCCGAAGGGGAAACGGGCGTCTCCTACCCCTATTGGGAGGGTTGGCAGGTACAACATGTGGTGTTATGTGAGTCTATGGGAGCATCTGATCTTTTTTCCCCCTCACAGCGTGGGAAAGTTTCCAGTCCCAAAGCACCAGTCTGGTCTCCGTGTGTGGCTTTCTCCATAAACGGTGGTGTGGAAGTGTAAAGCATGCAGCGCATGTAATTTAAATCTCGAGCATGTGCCAGATACTCTTACCATTCTCCAAATGGACATGCATGGAAGAGCTTCGTAAAGGGGCTCTGCCTGGGACTGTCTTCTAAATTTTGTTTTGCTTTTCATGTATTCTTTTTTCTTTTAATGTAGAACTCATTGAAGACTTCAACACGGCGAAAGAAGAGAACGTCCTTTAAAAGAAAAGCCAGCAAAAGAAGCAATGAAGTAGGTATTCAAGTGCTTTGGGAATTTGTCTCCTTTTGTTTAAATGTCTAAGTGCAGAATTTAAAGTATAATTTTTTTTCTGCAGTGTTTGATAAATTTCACACTACTGCATTTTTTTGATCAGTTTTGATAAAACTTTTATGAGCAACTATATTTGCTGACTTGATTTTTTCAAGAAACAACATGCCAGAATCCAGAAGGACCAGCAGCCTAAGAAACAGTGTTTCCTTGGGATATAAGACTTAGCTCAGAACCTTGGTTTCCACTAGGCAGAGCAGGGGTATGAAGCTGGGATTCTGAAATCCAGGGTGAGTGCACTGATGCAGGGATATGTTCCAGTTTGAGGGTATCTCCCTCAGGACATCTCACATCGGAAATAGTGTGTTTGTGTGAAAATTGACGTTGGACCACAGAGAGAGAGAAAACAGATGTATTATCTGATGGATTGATTAACCATGTAGCTTATAATATTCTTGTTTCCAGACCCTGCTTATGTTTTAGTTACATAGGTGGACAATAGCCTCATGGGCAGAGGTAGAGGGGCCTGTGCACAGCCAGAGCTCACTGATTAGGATCCTCTCTTGGATGGTGGGCGAACTGCAGACCAGAAACTTGAATCTGGGTCTGCCACATCCCAGGGGAGTGTCTTCACTAGTGGGCTGTAGTGTCCTGCAGGGGTAAGGAGTAGGGAGGCAAATAGCATTTTTATTGACATCATGTTTGACCTGTGACATTTATTCAAAAGCAGGAGGGCCAGCAAGGCCAAGAACTCAAGATCAGATCATCTGCAACTAAGTGCTGACATAACTTGTCTCTTAGATGGAATTAATGAAATGAGTAGTTGATCTCATTCTATTATCAACTGGGTAATTGTTCATATTAGAAATAGCACTGTATCTGACACAGTATTATTGCTGTGTGAATAACTGAGGGTTGTTTTTGGAAATAATATTGAATTAAATTTTTCAAATAGTTTTGTACTGGTCTGAAGTGATTTCCCCCTCCCCCCCCCCTCTTATCTTCTTACACACTTGTCTCAGCTGGATAAATTAGTCCCAGCTAACCCCCCCAATTAAAATGGCTCTACTGTTTCCAATACCTAAGGTAGTTTTGTCAGAGCTACTTGAGTGTCCTGCACTTTTTATGCCAGAGAAACCATAAAAAACTTTTACAAAAGTTGTTTCTTTCTTCTGGTTCTCAGGATAACAAAGGTCGACCATTTGTGATAAAGCCTATCTCCTCTCCACTCATGAAGCCACTACTGGTTTTTGTCAATCCAAAAAGTGGAGGGAATCAGGTAAGAACATAATCTGGATCCATGTCATAAAGTTTTAGTTTAAGAGCAGTGTATCTGCAAATGAGAATAACTTTTGGTGAGTCAGATAAGAGCAACTCTGTGCAACTGAACTGCTGTCACTAGAAGTCCTTCCTGTTGAATGCCCTTCCACTACAATGGAATGGGAGGGCTGGAATGGATACTTGAGCATTTGAGAGGTTGTATTGCTATCTTAAAGTTCTTGAAAGGGATCTAAACTCGTAGTTTGAAAGTTTTCAAATATTTCATCTTTCCATTATGAAAATTTAGATTGCTAATGAAGTCTTAAACTTTTATTCAGAAGGCGATGTAAAGGATGTAAAAGGAAAGCCTGGTGAAATTAAGGAATGTGGACTGACACATTCCTATGGCATTTAAAAACATCATTGCTGGTCTTGTACCACAGAGAACCAAGTTTCAGTGACTAACATAACCATGCAGTAGACTTTTTTATTTCTTGGAATTAAAACGTACCCAAGTGAAACTTCTGCAGGTTAGTTCTGCCACTTTTTGGTTATCAAATAATCTGAGAGCCTTTTGATAAACAAGGCTGTTTAGTTTGAAAAAAAAAAAAAAAATGATTGATGTGAGATATGAGGCCTATAGTAAATGAAGAGTAGGATAGCTGCTGCTATGCTCTTATTCATGCACTATAGGCCTCCTCTGTTAGAAGAATTAAGGAGGATATAAAATTAAACTAAGAATCTGATTAAAACAAAGAAAAAAACTTCTCATAGTATGTAGCTCAGCTGCAAAACTCCTTGCCACAGGATGTTGTGAATGCTAAAAATTTATGTGGGCTGAAGGAGAGATTTGGAAGAGGAAACCCTGAAGGTTACTTAAGTTCTGGACCCTCATCTCTGGCTCAAGTGTGCAATGAACTGTAAATAGCTGAGGTTGGGAAAATACCTACAGCAAACATCACATTTTTCTTTGTTCTTATACCTTTTCCTAGACACTTTAACTACTGTTCTTGGTTCTCCACTTAGGGAAAGGTATCAGACAGAAAAGCCATCCCTCAGAAGGAGCAGCTATAGAAAATTTCTGACTTGCACCCCCTAGGCTATGTCTGAAATGTGTCCTTGAATTACTTTGAGGCACAAGCTGGCTCCATGGGGTGCTTAGGACTCCTGCTAGTAAGAGGTCCTGGCAGTTCATGTCTGGGCAGAACACAAAGAAAAGGACCTGAGTGTCTGGAATATGAACTCTAGAGTTTGAGAAGGAAAAAATCATATGTTGAGCTGATGTGCTGGCCACCCTTCATTTAGTGAGGGAATGCTGGGGCAGCTGCAGCCCAGAGTCCTTGGCTTCTGCTTCATTACCTGGTAAAGGGCTACAGGTATGAGTGCTCATGGTGGTGATGGTGAAGGTCAAAGCAGTATCATTACTTGCATGCTGTGCCTGACACTGTTCAGTGGGATATTGACTTTGCATACAAGCTTGCTCAACTTCTTGATGTCATGGGTGGCTGAGGGTGGTATGGGGTAACAAAGTTTTCTTGTTGTAGGTAGTGAGAGGTAGGAGAACAGGTTGCTGTGGGAACTGGACCTTTGCTCTGACCCCGAATGCCTGTTCTTCTGAACCATTAATGAACTGTGTTGTTAAATTCAGTCTGTATGGTATACTTATGTACCTTACCTAGACAAGTAGATTGCTATTTTATGGAGCAGTCAGCTGCTGTGTCATTTTTGAGATGGTCTTTTTCTTGGATTATGTTTGCTTTGTAAAGCACAGAAGAAAGAAAAGCAGTCCAAATATAGTAACTATTGAACACTATTTATTCTAATAATCAGAAAGATATTAATAATTTCTCTTTGATTTTTCTCTTCTCCCAGGGCACCAAGGTTCTCCAAATGTTTATGTGGTATTTGAATCCACGCCAAGTCTTTGATCTCTCTCAGGAAGGGCCAAGAGATGCGTAAGTTCTCAAGCTTTCAGTTGGTTTTGGTAGTTCAGGTTTTGGTAGTAGTGGTGGGGATGGGCTGCAGTGATGGCTTCTGTGAAAAGAGATCAGGAGCTGCCCCCATGTCAGACAGCCAGTTGCAAACAGCTCCAAGACAAACTCGTTGCAGATTCCCACAGTGCTTGACCATTCCCCAGTGGCTAAGCATTGCAGTGGGGGGAGGCTGCTGCCAGGTTTCCATACATGACAGCAGCATTCAAGTACCTCTGCTTGCTGAATAACTAACTCAGTTTCTCTGGGTGACAGTTGTGAGCCTTTTCTATGGAATGGAGGGCCTGTCTTTAAAGGGATGATTCTCGCCAAGGGTTAAAAGATTTCTGTGGTATTTGAGATAGGGATACTTGCTTCAGTCAACCATCTGTTCAGTTCTACTTTCACAAGTTAAGAAGCACAAAAATACCGTAATCATGTAAAATCAAATAAACACCTGTTTAAAACTGCCCATGTATTTGCCATTCTTACTTCCAGAGCATCCAAGCCTTTTTTGCCTGATGAAACACCTCCACTGTTGCTCCCATCATAATGTAGAGCACAGTTATATATGTACAGTATTCAGAGCTGTGTAATGGAGTTGAAGGAGGTTTAGGTCCTTTGGTCACTCATCTCTCTATGTGTGAACATACCCCCTCCAGGGGGTATTTTATTATACCTCTCTTTCATGCAACTGAAGGAGTAAATCTTTAGCAAGTGTGGGTTTTTTGTGGTTTTGTTGTAGGGTTTTTTTTCTCTCTTGTTAATGTGTTAGATCAGATATCCAAATAGCTCTGTTATTACCTTCTGTGGTGTTAAAGAAATACAGCTGACAGCTGAAGGAGCTGTCATCTTCTACATGTCTCAGAAATGGTGGCTCAGCAAATACTCATGAGGAACATCAAATTTTGTTTTAAAATCTCAATGCTTATATTTGCTTGCTTTAGAATAAGAGAAAAATGGAAGACTTTTGTCAACTCCAGAAGGAACATGAGAATCTTGCCTTTCCAGTTTAGCATGGGAGCATGCAAAACTGATCAAATACTTCTCAGAAGGTGCTGTCTAACCATGGAAAAAGGAACCATTTCAAATCCTAGTGGTTTTGTGTGTATGAAGATGTAGAATGATGCATAGTGCTCAGGGTGGATAGGGGCTGATGCCACCTGTGACTGCCAGGGCTGATTTATGGCCGCCTCACTGCCGAGGCTTTTGATGGCACTGACATTTATTTATTTTCTATTTTTCTGTCTTCACCCACACCCTTACTAATAAATATTTGAAAAGGCAATAAGCAGCACTTAAGCTGTCACTTGGCAAAATGCATTAAAAGTGCCTACATCATTGTTCTGACTGTTTCCTACCCCCCACCCCTTTTTTTTTTTTTTACTTTTTCTTCCTCTGGCCAGGCTGGAGTTGTACAGAAAAGTGCCAAACCTGCGGATCCTGGCCTGCGGCGGGGATGGGACGGTAGGTACCTGAAGCCCAGTAGCCTCACATTCATCACCCAAAAGACTGAATTCATGGCAGTTGTGCAATCCACACCTTGTGATGCCTGCAGAGCCAGAGAACATACCTTATGTTTGTGAAACCTACATTTTGAAAATTTTTCTGGGTGGCCTGGCCTGCATAATGATGGACCCAGATCCTAATGTCTAGGGTCTTACTTGATTTATGCATAAAAGTTTGGTACACCAAAAAAGTAATGCATAAGTTTGGTACACCAAAAACATAAAGACTAACCTTGCTGGCCTCCTCTCATTTTTTACACAGACCTGAGGTTCTAGCAGGTTGTCAGTGTCTGGGGGCCATCATATCTTAATTTCTGCTTCTTCTTGCTATCATCTCTATGATGATCGAATACAGCCAAAATAGTGTCTCCTCTGTTCCCAAAGAGAGTGAATTTCCCCACTTTCTTTACAAGTATCTGTAAGGAAGAATATTGCATTGGTGATGCTATTAGTCTGAGATCTGGCAGGTCCAGGGTAATTATTTTTCTTTATTATTGAATTTCTGTTTGTTGTCAGATAAATGAAAAGGGACAGATCTTAAAAGGATTTAGGCACTTTCAGTTGGAGGTAGGGTCTATGGGGGCCTGGAGGCCAAGAGTGGTAATGGAGGCATTACAACTACATTACTCTTTCCAGTACTGAGGAATATTGTAATTTCCAGTCTGTGCTGCTGAGTGCCTAAAAACAGTTGAAAACTGACCATTAATCTCTGTGAAGATCAGTTCCCCAAACGTTGGTAATAGTTGTAACTATAACTAGGGTAAGGAAAATGCATTACTGGTTGCTAGATGCAATGGCTGGCCAGAATTGATGTATCTAAATATTAAAGGCATAGGAAGGCTTTTCTTTCTCTCTCTATTTTTTTTTTTTTTTTTTTTTCCCCTGAACCAACACTCAACTCATCTTTGCTTGCATTTCTGGTGTAACTTTCTGTTCAGCTTCCGTGAGTTCTTTTAAAATGCCAGCTCTAGACATTATTAATGCCAGTGCTTACTCTGCAAGAGTAAAGCAAATATATTATTTGACTATTGTCATGCTGGTATCTGGGACCTGAAATACTACTGAATTGTGAATGTTCCTTGAGAACCTGCAAGACATTGCTTTAGCAGGAAGCATAGTTGCAAAGAATTTCAATCAGCTTCTGAAAATCTTTGCTGCTTCTATCTGAGAAACCCTGTATTTTAATAGGGGAAAAAATAATCTTAATCTCGAGAATATTAAAACAGAAATTAACGAGGCTGCATTTGTCTGACCATCTTTTATTTTACCTTTGCTAAGCAGTGCAAGCGACAGGTGGCAGCACCTTCTCGTTAGTATGAGCAATACTCTGCTATTACATTTGCTGCTGCTCAGTTTGAAGCAAATTAATAACTAGTTATTCCCAAAGTCATTGCACCTAGAAATGAAAAAACCTGGCTCAAATGGACCTAGTGAATATTCAATGAGACCAGATGTTAACTTGCATTATTGAGGTGAATGAGAACTTACTGTAACTTTTCCATCATCTTTGCTTGCTGTTTATTTCCAGGGAATAAGTGGAAAGCTTTGATTTCAAAGCAGTCAGGAGCTTTCTGTTTACAGGGAAATGATAGCCTTTGTCCTCCGAGATTGTAAAACTAATATGCAGTGTTTAGAAATGACCTCAAGTTAAATAGAAGTGTTGTACTTACAAATTAGTTATTTGAAGTGCCTATTTATCAGTTAAAAGTTAAAGCTACCTGCACTACTGGGAGGCTGAGGCACAAATGTATGGATTTAAGTCAGTGCCAATGACAAAGGGCTAATGACAAAAGTCTCTTTAAGGAGTCCTCTCCCCAGTGAAGTTATCAGGACTCTTTTTTCCTGTCTCCTGTGATCAATACTGAAGGATAGATTTTTGAAATTGATTCCCCCTCACTAGAAATGTTCAACGCCAGGTTGGATGGGGCTTTGAGCAGCCTGGACTAGTGGGAGGTGTCCCTGCCTATGGCAGGGGGGTTGGAACTAGATGATCTTTTAGGTCCCTCCCAACCCAAACAATTCCATGATTCTATGAAAGGCAGAGGATTGCTAATCTCTGAAAATCTCTTAAGGACTGCATTTAGTTCGTGGACATTAAGTGATACAGATCACTGTTGTCAAACAATGACCTGTAATGTTGGTTCACATCCCAGATGAATGATTTAATAATTGTACAATCAGTTATAATAAATAACTACCTGATAAATGCTACTTATGCTTAATCAAATTTCTTTAGGAAACTTGAGAAAGACATACTTTAGAATACCAGATAGAGTGGTGGTTGCTATATCTGTCAAATATGACCTTCGAAATACAACCCTTCAAATTCTGTCATTCCCATTGCCCGTGTTATGTTGGGTATGTGTCCTAAAGCTCCAGTTTCATCCCAGTTTGGGGTAAGAATCTATTTAAAATCATAGCAATAGTGAGTTGGGGATTTTTCCTCCCCTCATAACTGGGGAGGAAAATCCTGTCCATATGCAGTTAAGATTTCATTTTTATGTCTTATTTAAAAGCTCACATTTCTAGTAGAAATTGTATCTTTGAACATTGGCATCAGGAAAATAAAATAGGTCCAATTTTATCATAGGTTTATTTTTTTCTCAATTCCTTGTTTTAAAATGCAGCACAGGTTCTTACACAGTTTTGGGTTTTTTTGAGGTAAGAAAAAATTTAAGAAAAAGTTCTGTTTTCCTGTAATAGGAGTTTCAGTCTTTAAAGTTTTAGAAATTCAACCATGAACATCAGCATTTGTCTTTTTTTGTAGTCTTTTAGTCTTCTACTTATTTGTATGTATACTTGTGTAAGTACTACTAGAATAAATACATATAATGCATTGCACTGAGTGAAATAATTCAGCATTAAGGTCTCTTGTCTGGAGAATGGGAGACCTACCACCAAGTCCATGCTTGACTTGATCTGGACCCTCTAACTCAGTTCCAGGACATACTCTGAGATACTGTGCTGATTTAATGTGTCTCTCTTATCTTCTTTCATGACAGTTGTCAAAGTTTTAATTTATTCTAGTATAAGGGCATTTAAAAAATTTTATCTTGAACTGCCTATATGATTCTTCACTCATTTTTACTACATTATTTTTCAGAGCAATAGGCAGCCTTGGCAGGTGTAATTCTATGTGTTTTCACTTCCTGTTTAAAGAACAACAACTTCCATTCTCCCTCTCCTCAGTAGCTCTGTTGCTGTTAAAGATAGACATTGTTTGCATCCAACTGCTTCTGCTTTTAGAGGAACTTCATTTAAACTGCTGTACTTGTTCTCCAAAAGGTGAAACCTGAGATGGGGCAGTTGTAGAGTTATATTTCAGATGTCCTCATTTCTCCTCCTCCCTTCAGTTTCGTGTGATCTTATCTGTAAACAGGACATGATCAAAACGTCTTTTTCTTTTTTGCTCCTGCCCCTTTTAATCTTCCTGACTAATAGTTCTGTGCATTTTCCATTTTATAGGTGGGCTGGATCCTCTCCATCCTTGATGAGCTGCAACTCAGTCCCCCTCCTCCTGTGGCTGTCCTTCCACTTGGCACTGGGAATGACCTTGCCCGCACCCTCAACTGGGGTGGGGTAAGCACTGACTGGGGTACCCTTCTGTGCAGGCTCTCAACTTGCTGGTCTGATTTATTTGTGCAGTAAGGTGAAACTTCATTTTGGCAAAAAATACAGGCAAGACTGTGTCCAAGGTCTATTTCAGTTATACACTATGATTTGGTACAATTTCCAGTCTGGGATCTTGAATTACTAATGATGTTGTTGTTGTAATAAAAGCGTTTATGGATGTAACTGTCTGGTGTTTCAGGCCAAGTAATGAGGAGGATATGTAGGCTTCTAATTTAAGGATAGTTTAAAGTTTATTTCCCTGTATTTATCCTTGACTACTCCACTGGAGTTAGTCCAAGCAAAGCAAATACGCTTTGCTTTCCTCTCCTTATGGTCTTACTTTGTGTGCCCAAGACTTGTATATCTTAGCAATAGCTTGCTAAAGTGCTTGATATGTCAAAATCTAGCAATATTTTGAGGTGTTCTTAAGAACATTTGATCTGTCCCCTATGAAAGGAGGGAAGTCTGCCAGGTAATTGGTGAGTCACTTACTTTGCTTTCACTAATCATGGCTGATACTCTGGTGACACTCCGTTTGCTATTAGGGTTACACAGATGAACCAGTGTCCAAGATACTGTGCCATGTAGAAGATGGGACCATTGTCCAGCTGGACCGCTGGAACCTCCAGGTTGAGCGCAACCCTGATTTGCCACAAGATGAGCTGGAGGATGGGGCACGTAAGGTTAGAGCCTTCTTTTTCCCAGGGAGACTACAGAGTGCTTAAGAACGTATTTGGATCCTACCATACGATGCACTAGTAGGGAATCTCTAAAACTTTTTAATTCTTTGGTTGCATTTCTTCCTTTTGTTCCTTTTCATGTGTCATTGCTTCCGGAGGTGTGTGAAATGTAATACATACCAGCCATTTATTTGTTGTTTGTAAGTCTCAGACATTGAGCGTTTATCTGAAGAACTCACTCCTGGCAAAAATCCCTAGCATCTTATCTGAAAGGTCGTTGTTTATTTTCTCTACTTAACATGGGGTGACAGGAGAAGTAACCTTGTGACCACCATCCATTCCTAAATTAGATGTAAATCTAAAAACAGGACATAGAATTCCTTCAAATTTTGTTAGTGATTACCAACTCTTTCCTACTTTACAGCGAGGAGTAGTATATTTTTGTATTTAATGTCTTGGTGTCTGGGTTTCCACGACCTTGATAATTGAATAATAAGAAAGGTTTGTGAGGGGATCACATTTATTGGTGTGTCATTTGGACTGGAAATGTTGCAAGTGTTATAGTAATAGAAAATATTGAGAACCATTTTCCTCTTCTCATTAATAATTTCCATCTTCTCTATTGGATGCTACTGTTCTCTCTCCACAGCCATGCTGGGCATGTGTAATGATGAAGAGGTCAGATGTGTGCTTCTCTGCCTCATGCATCCTCAATAGAATTAGGGCTTCTTGTCTGAGACTTGCATCACTCCTGATTATGTATGAAGCAGGAAGAACACAGCCTGAGTTTCCTTTTCCATGCTGATCTTGAAGTGCCAGCAATTAGGAAAACCCTTGTACTGACATGTGAAGTGGAGCAGCATTATGGGAAATCTCAATGAGAACATAAGGAATCCTTTGATGTGTTTACAAAGATATATACATGATCATAAAGCACTGAAAATGTATTTGTGTTGTTTACACATTTGTATCTGATCACCTTCCACAAGATACTACTAACTTTCAGAACAGTCTTCTGCATACATTTCTCTAATATGTTCCACCTTCTTATTATGTTTCCATGAGACCCCAGATATAAAGTAGTTAATTCCTGGTATGTCGTGGAATATTTAATTCATGTTATTTTTATATGTCTTTTTTATTTTTTATTTTTCAATTACAGCTTCCACTTAGTGTCTTCAATAATTACTTCAGCCTTGGATTTGATGCACATGTTACACTGGAGTTCCATGAATCTAGAGGTAATCAGAACTTTTTCCTCCTTAGCTTTGGAAATGAGCAGTTATTTTATGAATTAAAAATGGAGTTGGATTTCACATCCTCTTCTTACAAATGAGAAAGAAGGCTTAACTATAAAACCCCAAGACACAGACACAAGCATGAGTTGTATCATGAGTTTCCAAGGGACTTCACAATTTGAAAATGAAAAAAGTACAAGGGAAAATGGCACTCACTCGAGGCAAAAGGCGAAAAGGGGAGCTTTTCAAAGGTTTTGATCTTCTAGAGGAGATATCAAGTACAGATATAAAGGAAATTTATGCTGATGCAGAAGTGTCAGAATAAAAGCAAAAGTCAGGTGCCAAATTTCTCTCCAGCATGCACGTGGAGGGAGGATAAAAAGCTGTGAGGCTGTGGAAGTAGTAGGGTAGGTGGAGGGTAGCAGTATTTTCAAACTCAGCAGCTGTGACCTATGGATGCATACAGCATAATGTCATTGAACTTTGTGCAGTCCCAGAAAGTCTCTATGCAAGTGAAAGGTTTTAATGAAATCCACAAAATTGTCAGCAATTTGAGCTGTTGTAATATCTTGTTTGTCCCCTTGGTGACTGCAGTTATACCATTCCATACAGATCCAAATGTGGCTTAACAGGTGGGCTTTGGACTAATGTGAACTTCTCTATTTATACGGTTTAGGCTGCCATGCTTGTATAAACAAATCTTGCTAAATTGTCAGCTTTTGGTCATTCCAGCTTCAGATGCAGATGTTTTTTCTGGATGGCAGCCTCCCTTCTCTTCAGTTTGGTAGTCTCTGAGTGTCATTTCAAGAAGAAAAGACAGCACACTAATGCCATGCTAAATAAAGGGCAGAATACATGATGGATTGAGCTAATGCAAATTTAATAATGTTTAAGACTGCTTCAAGGTTTAAGAATAATAATGAGGAGCCACAAAAGGGCACAGGAATGAAATTATGACAGCTGTATGCCTTTTTTTTTTTTAATTTTTATGAAGGCATATCACCGAGCATTGCTAATGTGCCTGTGAATATACTGCGTAGATGAAATGCATGACTACTTTCTCACTTAATGGAGGCATTACTTAATAATGAAGTAATGGAATACGATAAAGAATGGATGTTATTCCAGAGATGCCAGTGTTTTAAAAATTTACATGACTGAAAAAATATTTGGCAGAGCAAGCTGTGTGCCTGTGAGTGTGTGTATGTGGTCAGGAGAGCTTTTCATAGCACAAATGTCTGCTCTCCCAAGTCGTTACTGCTGGCGTCTTCCTTACCCTCTCAAATGCTAAAATACACAAATGAGTCCTATGTGTTTTAGGAGGGAAAAGCTTGTAGCCTTAGAGATGTTTCTGATGTGTGGGTTTTATCGTGTTTCATCTCAGCAGATTAAGATTGTCATTTTATTTACAACTGATGACAATCTATAGAAAGTCTGTGCAAAACTTTAGCAAAACTTAAAGCACATTCATGGCTGTTACACCTGGTCCATTAAGTAGTTGTCTGCAGTTGCTGACATGGAGCTTTTGTAACCACATATAGTAGTAAAACGAACAAAAAAACCCCATGCCCCTCCACTCTTCCTCTTTCTCCTCTCCCCCATCAAACCAAAATAAATTAGGTTGATTTGAACTCAGACTATCAGGGCATTTCATGCAACGAAGATTGGTCAACTGTTATATTTAGAATAAGAAGTAATTTCAATTTCTCAGAGGAACCTGTATATGAATGTGGCCTTTTCCATGGTAACATCTACACTCTTATTGTGACTAATCAGATTGAGCCTTGAGGGCTGACTCCAAGCCTAACGTATTTAGCTCTGCTTCTTTAGGAAGTGTTCTGGGTAGCAGCTTTATTCCAGAGTCAGAGTTTCCTTCCTTGTTATTCTCATGTTTTGGTGGATCAAGGGAGATGCAATTTACTTTATGCTTGTTGGCATGTTGTTTGCTCTCTCAGCTCTCCGGGGCTGTTCATTTACAGGACACCTCCCCCCACTCTCTCAAGCACACACACACACACACACACACACTTACACTTTCCTTTTCCCTTGATGGCTTGAGAAAGGTGAGGATGGAGTGAGCCTTAGATAAGCAGTCAGTGATCTATTCCTCCAACTTAAATGGCACTCTAATCAACTTTAGGCTCTACTCTACATCACAGTCCTCCCACCGTGCCCACACTCATTTGCAATGTCAGGAGTAGGAGAAGTTCAGTATGTTGAAGGTCCCCGACCTCAATAAGGCTCCTTTTCTGATTAACCAATTCCAAACTGGGGCTTTGGTTCTTGTCAGTCTTTGTTGTAAGATCCATGTGGCCTGGTGGCTGCTGCCTGGAGCCATTAGGCATAACCCCATCAGAGAGCATGCATCATGGGCACTGAGCTTTCAGGAGCCTCCTACTTCTTAGTATGGGATGTTGAGACTTTCTGTGAAGAACTGTGAGCTCAGTAACTGAGACGAGATTTACATACGCAGTTAAATTAATTGTTTTAAAAAGAGGTGTCCCTAACTGTATTCCAGGCTCACCTGCAACGCAACAAATAGATGATGAGAGTAGCTCAGCAATCAAACAAGAAATGTAAAGTAGCTCATTCCTACAAAATGGAGGCCTATATTGTGAGGCTAGTGGCTTCAAAGAGAACAAAGAAGCATTCTTTCACTTGATTGAGAAGTAATTAGGAAGTATTCACACTGGTGTGTTTTTGCAGCCAAAAGGGCTGTCTTAATATTCCAGTGAAAACATGGAGAATTACTGAGCAAGGATGGGTGGTTAGTACTACCACTGAACACAGTGTCAGAAGGGCTGCTTCCAAAATCCCGGGATGCCACAGGCTAGGAAATCAGTTCCCAAGGAGACATGAGAATGACTTGTATTCCTGCAAGCATGCCTTATGCTGATAGATTAAAGGAGCTCAATTCATCTTATTGGAAAGAAGGTTAAGAGGTGATTTAATCACTGCCTGTAAGTATTTACTCAAGGAGAAAATATCTGATAGTTGAGGGCTCTTTAATCTGATAGAGAAGTGTAATAAGATTTAGCAGTTGGCAGTGGAAGTCTGAAAAGTTCAAGATAGGAAAAAAAACTCCACATTTATTTTTACAGCGAGAATAATTAACCATTAGATTTGTGCTACTACTGGACCCTTACAATTTTCCATAACTTAGAGTCTAATAAAAAAAAAACAGATCTCTAAATGGATTTTAGAGGAACTGCTTATTTTAATTTTTATTTTTTATTTCTGCAGAAGTATTTCTATTCCTCAGTACATCTTTGCTACACACCAGAATTTAAGCGTCTGTTTCATTGTATAATTTATTGATGCTTTTCTCCTCCTTCAAAGCATGGATTAGTGTTTCACAGATTTCTAATAATGATTAGAGGTCTATTCTGCCTTGTCTCGCAAGTGGTACTGAGGGTTCATAAAATTAGTAGTCAGAGAGGTGCTAAATTAATAATTGCATTCTTGTTATCTCTTTGCTCATGTTTCCATCTACTTTCACTCTACAGCAAAGAGGAAGAATTCAATATCAGTGTTTGAAATCTGATAGCAGGTGAATGCACAGATGGTGGATTCTCAAACAGGAAACTCTAGTTATGTTAATATTTTCACTGAGTGATGTGTGCTGCAAGCACTACAGTGCTAGAAGGGAATGTGAAAGTATAATGAAGGATACTTGTTTTATTACGATGTTCACATTTTTCATTTTTATCCTTTCACAGAAGCAAATCCAGAGAAATTCAACAGCCGATTTAGAAATAAAATGTTTTATGCAGGGGTAAGTTATGATTGATCTTACAGAATGATCCTAATTTAGTTGTTTGAATGTTATCTTAAAGTACCTTCCCCCTCATTTTCCTACATCAGGAGCTCATGGCTATTCATTTTGCCTGCTGCAATTCGAAGTGCACACGTACATTTTCTGGAAATACCATACAAGTGTCTGTAGGAAGGTGCCTGAATCATAGTTGTTTTACAGTGCTTAGTATGTGAGAGAAATACTACTCCTTTGGACACAGCACTGGCCATGTCTTGCTCCTTCTTCTGGCTCATAAGCTTCTCAAAAAACTGCTCTGCTTCTTTCAGGATTTGTGCAATACATTGATATTGACTTTCCTAGAGAAATTCCCTGAGTGTCAGCCTGTGCATTTGGAGCTTTGAGGAGTAGTCTTTGATACAGGCCATGGGAGTGGAGGGTAGAAATCAGTTATTTGGAGTGATTCATCTTTAGATGTGAGCATGCAAATAAAACTATCCACTTCTGCATTCAGGAGGTACATGGGCAGCACTTTACTTTAAAATGCAGTTAATGAGAACATTAATTAAATCATCTGAATGAGAGAAACACTAATTTGATAATGCATGACATATCATGTTTTTTCTGGATGTTGACTCCCATTATATCCATGTGCCTTAAATATTTGAACAAGAATTTGCATTTAAATCCTTGGATGCCTGAGGAACTTATTTGATGAACCTCTCAAAAGCATCATAATTTTTAAAAATAATAATAAAAAATCATATCTCCTGAGAGCAAAAAAGAATAGCTTTGACAAAGGAATGTAATTTTGGTAATTAGCTCTGTGGTGGAATAAGAAATGACAGAGAAGAGAAGACACACTGTTAAAAATTCCTGCACTTATTTTTGTTGCAGGCAGCCTTTACAGACTTTCTGCAAAGAAGCTCAAGAGATTTATCCAAGCATGTTAAAGTTGTGGTAAGTATAAGAAATTATGTCATAGTATTGTGGGAAGTGGGGGAGTGGAGATAGAGGAGGTGAGAGTTTAATGGCTCTGTTACTTTTCAGTTTTGAGCATGACATTTGCAACAAATTCCAAGGAAAGTCTTGGGAAAGTTGTTACAAAGCAGCAACACTTCCCTTGTCTGTGGCTCCATTCAGCAATTTCTCTGTGCTCTGTCACTTTGGCTTTGTAGTGTGATGGTACAGACCTGACTCCAAAGATCCAGGAGCTGAAGTTCCAGTGTATAGTGTTTTTAAACATACCCAGGTAAGCTCAAGACAGATGCTTGAAGTTATAAAAGAAAAATAATATATTATTTTAATTGAAAAAAGAAAAAATCCTACAAGTTGTCCTCAGAATGAGATCTGAGTTCAGGTTGCAGCTAAACTATCCTTTAAAATGTTGAATATCCTGATAGAGAGATAGTAGAAATTATTAAAAAACACACCTTCAAAAGTGCAACTAAACTGCAAGCAAGATAGTGAAGATAAATATGCCTTGTTTTTCACTTTAATTAGAAGCAGAGTATGAACAAAGAATAGGGGGGAAGCAGAGGGAGGATGGGGAAAAAATGCAATTTTTTTTTTCAAAACTATACTGTTGAAAGAGATGCTGTTTTTAACATGTTTTTAGTATGTTAGAAGTCCCAAATAGATATACAGTTGTATTTTCTATCTTCTTATCTCTAGAGTAGTAATGTTCAAACTTCTTTTAATTGTGCATCCTTATCAATAAAAAAAATATCTTGAGCACCACGTCAATATATATACATTTATTTATAAATTATATACTAGTACTGATGCCTTATGAAACACACAAAAAATAGGAATTAAGAAAGGATGTGATAAAGATGAAACAGACACTATTTTAATGTGGCTTTTTTTTTTCTTTATTAGAAGTACAAACAATAATTTCTTCACATACTGTAAGATTTTTCGTGCACACTTCTTGTGGGGCAGGCACCCCATTTTGGACACCACTTCTTTAGGCAACCTACCACTTTGCTTCACATGCACTCCCAAACACTTGATCTTTTGAGTCCTGTACTGCCCTCATTGCAAGCTTCTACTTCGTGTCATCTCTCTGAAGTTCTCTCCCTTCTACAACTCCTAGATAATTTTTACATCCGTTCTTTAACAATAGGAAAGATAGGGGCCACAGCTACATCTGTTCCTGCTTCTTATTTCTCCCTACCTCCTCAAACGATGAAATGTTTTGCAGTCCTTATGCAGTTAGAGTTTCTGAGCCACCAGGGAAGAGAGAAAATGGAGCTCCAAGGCTGGAGTTGCTGTTGCAGCCCCATGTCTGCTAGCAGAGGGGCTAAGCAGTTTTCTGGCTCAACAACTCATCTACAGAAAACAAAGCAGGATGAAGTGGTGCTGCTCTGTTAGCTATTTCCTAGTGCTTCCTCTCACAAAAGAACCTGCTAAATATTATGAGGGATAGTGGACATTTATGGATAGTGTAGCAGCTTGGAAGCAAGAGACAGATTATCCCTTTTGTCCAGTCCTTGCCAGCATAACTTTTAGTTGTCCCTGAATTGAATCCTGGAGGACAGCAGACCAGACTAACAGTCAGGGCAAACTTCTTTCTCAAAGCTTTCTTTCCAAACCTCTTTCTGTAGGTATTGTGCTGGCACAATGCCCTGGGGAAACCCTGGAGATCACAGAGACTTTGAGCCTCAGCGCCATGATGATGGCTACATTGAAGTCATTGGCTTCACCATGGCCTCACTGGTGAGTATATTGCAGGTGTTACCCTTCCCGGAGGTGCTACCAGGCTTGGTGAATTCTGTGGGCAGAGCTGCACAGTCCAAAGTGTTCCTCATTCCTGTCAGCTAAGGCTGGTTTTCAATGAGGAGGACAAATTGTAGTTTTTGAATAAAAGAGATGTTATTTAGTAATAAAAATGTAGTCTTTGCAAAATATGGCTAATTTGCATGTGCCGTTCTCCCAAGTTAAATGGCAAGATTACTATAGTGAAAAGAGCATGCATGGGCATTTTTATTGTGGGAATGTTCTATGGTAAAATAATCACAATTTTTTATTTTTAGCTGTTGTGTATTTCATTCTATGACATATAAGTTGTACTTCTTCTGTGTGTGTGTGTAAAACTGGCTACTGGAAGCAAATATAAAACATCATACAAAATTATATGCCCTAACAGTTTTCACGTGCCCACTAAAAATGTGGTGAAAATTTAGTAACATTTCTGGCACAAGTGTCATCTCTCTCTTTTTGTTCTGCTGAGGAAAGAAACATTGTTCTTAATGCAAATAATATAAATCTTAAATCCTTATTATTAAAGTTTACACAGCAACTTAGCCTAGAGATTAGACAGGCTGAAAAGAGCAAACAGAAGGACCTTGTTAAAAACAATTTATACCATGTTCAAGAATTCATTTCCAAGAAATGAAACACAGAGGGCAATGAGCTGATCCTTCAAGTTCTAAGTAAACATATTTGTGCAGAAATGTATTTTTCTAATTTATAGTGTGGTTAGTAAATCTCACCTATCAGCTGCAGAGAAAAAACCCCCACAATATTAACACACTACTAACAGAAAGCAGCCTAAATGTAAGTCAAGACCTTAATCCTGCCCTATGCGCTTAATGTTATGGATCAACGGATAATATGGTAAATAATGTTCGTAATAACACTTGTAAAGTATTTCTCTTCCTTGGTCTCACAGACATTCTTGGGTATGGTCAAGCACATCTACTTGTTGCTCACCACTTCTCTTTGTGAAATTTTAATCCCTGCTTTGGAATTTTGGAGTTAAATACATTAATCATGGCTCGTTAGAATGCCTTACATGTGGAACACTGTGTACTGGGTGCTGTCAGCAAAACTGCTTTTGGATTTAACTGCCTCAACTATCTGTTCTGAGGTTTCTTTTCTTTGTCTGTCCTGTTTGTTTTGTTTTTTCCCCCCAGGCTGCTCTCCAGGTGGGTGGTCATGGAGAGAGGTTACATCAGTGCCGTGAGGTGACACTTTTAACATACAAGTCTATCCCCATGCAAGTGGATGGTGAACCTTGTCGACTGGCTCCCTCTCTCATTCGAATCTCCTTGAGGAACCAAGCCAACATGGTGCAGAAGAGCAAGAGGAGAACATCCATGCCTTTGTTGAATGAGTGAGTTGGATATGTGCATGTCCTAGTGGCAAGAGGCCCATTTGGTGCAGCATATTCAGTCACAGATTTTGCATGTGCTGGACTTGCAGTGCATTTACAAAGAAAAAAAAAGAAAAAAGATAAAAATAAACTCACACCTTCTGAACTCCTTGTCCACCGTATTGAAAATACTTACCTGATTTCCTTTCATTCTTTTATACTCTGGATTTCCCTCTGTCTTGCTTTTAGAAAGGTGGTGTATTTTTTTCAGTTATTTAGAGGTTTGTGGAGGCTCAGCAGTGTTCCTTTTGGCTTCTGACAGTTCTGCATATGTACGTCATTTGCCTTTAAAGTTCTTTTGATTAATTTTCTCAGCTTTATTGATCTGCTTTTTTAAGGTCAATTGGAGATCCTGTAACAAACTGCCATAATCGAGAATTACTCATGAGATCTTGTAGTCTCTGTTGAGGGAGGACGTTGTCTGGGACTGTTTATGGAGAAGGACCTAAAGGTCAAGAGAGGGCTGTATGCAACATCTAGGAAATTCAGCTTCAGTATAAAAACCCAAATGAAAAATGAGTAGTCTAAAAATGAATAGAGGAAAGCTAAGGTAACTGGAAATCATGAACAAACGAAGAAGAAAAGATGGGACTATCATTTATTTTCATAACTAAACATTATTTGTAAGCACTGCAGAAATTTTAACACAAAAAAACTTCAAATTTTGACCCGTGAAAATGCCTATCCAATAAAAGAATTTAATTATTGTGTAGAGCTGATTATCATACTCATTATTTTATCATGATCATCCTAAAGAAAGTCTTCACTTTTGCTAAAATAAGTGACATTGTTGTTTTTTATCAAGTTTTCTCAAAGTGAAGCAAAGCAATCTGTCTCTTCTACAAAGCGACCAAGCTAAGGGCATAAAGAGATCCGTTGTCACAGTTTTAACTCAGCAATTAAACCAGTGACAACAGTGCTCTTGATCCCCTCCCTTTCCCACCTGGGTAGGG